GCGCAACATGATTGCAGCCTCCAGGCAGCTCCCGTTCGAGCATATAGCCTTGAGCTGCACATAGCTCCAACGATCCATCACAGTGTCTCCACACACACACACACACACACACACACACACACACACACACACACACACTTTGTATTGTATTATTGTATGAGAGAGGTTCCAGGTTGAATTGAGGCGAATATTTGTAATGTTCAGAGGTTGTTGTGTTTAATATTCATGAGAATATTTGTCATTGTTCAAATGATAATAAACAAACATATAAAGCATATTTGTCCACTCATATGTTGATAAGGGTATTAAAAACTTGAAAAATATAGGGTTTAGAACAGATAAAAAATGTGCGATTAATTTGCGATTAATCGCGATTAACTATGGACCAGTGGCGAGCCGTGAGCTTTATACCTAGGCCCTCTGACCCCCACCCCTTCCCTCGAAAAAAAGAAAAAAAAATAGTTATTACGTCACAGCGTATACTTCAGCGGAATATCAAAACAACGGCCCAGGGTGCAAAACGCATCAATGACAGCGACCCTCTACCACACAAAACAACACCTGTGAACCCAATTTGTGTTCTTTGACATTGAAAATGATATTGCATTGTGTTTGTTACTTTCGTTGCAGTTGTATGTCTTAAGTGTAATTTGGCATGCTTTTATTTTGAAGGCGCGTTCACGCTGTTGACAGGAAGTTGTTGTTGCTATGGAAACAAGAAAAGTTTCACAGCGGGCGGAACTCGTCATAAAGTCCGCGATAATAAAACCCACCCATTTAGAGGGAAGATATGATTGGTCAATTGTACTGTCATTTGACATTACTCTCTCGTTCAGTTACTATATACCCTCTGTGAATCGCAGAGAGGCCCGCTATAGTAACTGACATTCAAACAGAGACTGAACAGGCAGATTCGAGATTCTTTGGAAATGTTATTTTATTAAATCAAGTTTTTTTTCGGTAAAACTAATGAAAAATATAACAAAAATAATATTAAAAAAATATTTTTTTTTTTAATGTTTTTAAATATTATTTTTTGGAATATCTTAGGCCCTCACAGAGGGCCTAGAGGGCCCTGACGGCTCACCACTGCTATGGACAATCATGCGATTAATCGCGATTAAATATTTTAATCGACTGACAGCCCTAGTATTTATTACAATTATTAAAATACAGTCCAAACTGAACCAAGTAATTTATTTTGTCATTTCTAAAATATGTATTTTAGACACATGTCATTTACTAGAGCACATAACAAAAAGCAATGTGCTCAGGGCCGTCCCTCCCTACAGGCCGATCATGCAGACTGCATAGGGCCTCACCTTGCGGAGGGGGCCTCATCTTGCAGAGGGAGCCTCAACTGAGCCGCACCTATGCGCTTATGCGGCGCAATTAGTGTGGCGCGGCACGGTTTCGCCGCTGCGAGGCTCCACTAGCTATATTTTACTTCTAAAGCAAACAAATGTAATGCTACAACTGTGCACTTTTTGTTTTTTATAAACTTTGAGATGACTAAGATTCTGTTAAATTAATGCTAATTTGTTGTGTTGAATGTCTGGCCTAGCTGAATTTTGTAGTTATAAAATCTGGCCCAACTGAATTTGTAATTGAATAGCCCTGGTATATATTATACACTGGATCTGACTGGTCAATGCTGCCAAATTGATAGCAGTGCTGGTATTACAACTAAAGCACGTCAACATGTTCTACTGAAACTCAATTAATACACAAATAAAAATAAAAATAGGAAATAAAAATCCTGAATGCGTCTTAAATATTACGTGGTTTGTTTATCTAGAAAAAGGAAATGAAATATAAATATAATCCTGAATGCAGACATTTTCATTTTAAAGTCGGCAAATTAATGCAAATGTTGATTGCGGGGGAACATCCTTGCTACCTAGTGATCAAAAGTTCACAATGCTCGTCAAACACACACACACACACACACATACACACACACACACACACACACACACACACACACACACACACGCACACACACACACACACACATTATAAAGGAGCTGACAGGCTGCTGGAGGAGCCAGAGACTCAGCAGGTGAGAGAGGGTCTCTGATGCTTTATCTTTGAATATATTTTTTTATAAAACGTTCTTACTGTATTTATATTGTGGATCTTTTAAATGTAGAAGTTATGACTCTAGGTGAACACATAGTGAAATTAAATCGCATTTTAATCAATATTCTGAACTCATGCATTTATCATTTTCATTACAGACTACAGAGTGAATATTTATGAACTGCTGAATGATATACATTTGTATAAAATGTATGAATATAATGTTTTTTTCTAATACTATAGTATTCAAATACTGTCCGACAAAACCACTATGTTAAGGTGCCTTAAATGTTTAAATGTTGTTATATTTAGATTATAATTTGTCTGACGGTGTTCTTCTTCAAAAGGCCTTTAAAAGCCTTGAGAAGCTTCAACAAAATGCAGAAAAACACATCTAGATTTCCTGATTGTGTTTTGTTTGTTTAAATATTTTATATCAGAGCGTAAAACAATAGAAGAAATGATTTAAGGTCACTTTAAAGTATCCTGAATGTGTGTTTTTTATTGTCTTCATGCAGATGTTAACAGGCTGTGAGCCATGAACTCCTGACGCTCTGTGGCTGCAAGTGTGTGAACAGGTTAGTATTAATGCTATTATTACAAAACAGTAAATATATCTGTGCATTTAGATTTGAATGTCTGTATTTGTTCACATTTGATGCATTTCAGTTGCAATTGTACTTATATATGTTTAGTAATTGCAAGGCAGTAAAAAGCGTGTATTTTAAATACATGCTCGTCTATGCCCCTTAAAATATACAGCTGTCCATTTTGATTATCAATTACTGTATTATATTTCATGCATTATATTATGTTATAATTCATCTACATTCCTTAAGATGCTTGTTTGTGCAAGTAAAAAGCTTATATTTAATATATGCATGTTCTTGTTTAAAATAAATATGGTAGCACTTTAGATTAAGGTACACATATTCACCATAAACTAGTTGTTCATTAACATGTTAGAGTCAAACTACTAACTTATTGGTTATGAACTAGACTTCACTTTAAAATAAGGAACATATTCTAAGTTACAAATACCACATTTAGAGTTCTTTTGACACAATTAACACTTATAGTTTCATGTCTTGCTACACAAGAATAGATCATATGTGTTTTATTATGAGAGAATGCCTTATTACGCCCATATTGAGCATTTTAAGACCCAAACTCAAACACAACAACGTCCTTACTTCCAATAAATAAGCACTAATTAGAGGGTTATTAAGGACAACAACTCTTAACTAATGACCTAGTACTTGGAGAATATGGTCATGTAGAATAAGGTATTAATACATGTTTTATACTGACTAATAAAGAGCCAATATACTGCTAATATTCATGTTAATTAACAACTAGTTGATGGCGAATATGTGTACCTTAAAATAAAGTGTTACCATAAATATATAATATGAGCAAATGTGCCTTTTACAATTGTTTGCTATATAATATCTTAATCATAATTATATTAAGCTTACATGCAGGGCTGCAGAATAACACAATAAATCAAATTATTATTTATTATTTTGACTATATTTGTACTATTTGAGGGAATGATAATTAAACATTATTCTCATTTAAATTCAAAAATATAATGAAAGAATCATGGTGTGTTTACTAAGATGATCTGAACCATTTAAGGATGTTTCATCAAGTCTGTAGAATGATATTGATTTGTTAAATTCAGTCAGATATGTTGTACATATTTTACCTTTAATGAATATTGTTCTTACGTCCTAATGCACTCGTCTATTTTGCAATTTCAAATTTAGAAAATGTACTAATTGTGCAGCAGTAGTGTCCATAATTAGAATACATATATTACTATACTACTATCATTTAAATAAAAAGACCAGGGGAGACCGAGCCTTCTCAGCGGTAGCCCCCCATGTCAAATTGTCGCCCACTCTTCAAACATTTTAGTCATTTCCCTTTTTTTTAATCTATTCTTGTAATATTATATTTTATTATAATGTTATGTTCATTGTGAAGCACTTTGGCAAACCCTCTGTTTTTAAACAGATTGGATAATTGTATGGTTGTGTGTTTAACAGAAGAACAGATAACTTTGAAAACAATTTTTATTGAACAATATATTAAAATGACCTACAGTGTTATTTTTAAATCTGCAGCAAAAAGGAGATTTTACAAAGTCCATAGAATTTATTTTAGATTTGTTTTACATATCTTTCCCTAATCTAATACTGCACTGACTCATCTGGACTTTGCACTCGTCCTTATAGCCATTTTTAATTACATGTTGATTAATTGTGCAGCCCTTGCATGTGTGTAAAACCTCTCTGCTGCTCCACAATACTTCATTCAGATATTTTTACCTATTTTACCGTTAATACATATTGTTCTAACTGCGATCCGGACGTTGCACTTGTCTATTTTGCATGTACGAAAGAATATTGATCAACTGTCCAGCCCTACTGTCAATAATTATACAGTTATAGTGTAGTGTGTAACATAAAAGGAGTTCATTATGATTGAAAAATATATTAAAATGATCATAGTGTATTGCACAAAGTCTGATCTTATTAAGTCTGTCGAATTTATTCCATATATTTTGTACATATATTGCCTTTAATATTGCATTGACTTATCTGGATAATGCACTCGTCCGTATAGCAATGTTTGAATTAAATGTTGATTTATTGTGAAGCCCTTGTAGAAGAATATATTAAATGAATCATAGTGTTAATGTTTTGCAGAGGATTTATACAAGAGATTTCTGTAGAATGTATTCCAGATATTTTCACATATCTTGACCTAATCAAATATTGCACTGACTTAACTTGCACTTTTTAAATTAAACTTTGATTAACTGTGTAGCACTAGTATAAATGCATGCCTTAAAACAAGATATAAAGTGTGTGTGAGTGTGTGTAACCCCTCTCTCTGTGTTCCTGCAGGTTTATGAGCAGCTGCTGGAGATGCTGAACTCCTCTGACCCTCTTCAGCTGCTTCCAGGCAGTAATAACAGCTCCTCGCTGACAGGGGGCGCTGCTGTGAATCTGAACAAAGAGGACTTCTCCAGCGCGCTCACCAAGAACATCGTGGCCATGCTGGTGTGGCTCGTGCTCAGCGTCATCAACGGCAGCATGGTGCACACCTTCCTCAAACACAGGTAACTGTTTATTCAAGATTCAAGGCTTGTATTGTCATGTGTGTACATAGCTACAGTGTAGTTATGACAATGGAGATCTTAGGTCACAGGCTCCTCCAACAGTGCAACACAATAAAACAGATAAAATAGTGCAAGTAAATAAAATAGAATATAATGGAAATTGTGCAGAATAGTCTATATATACAGTAATTGGAATATTGATATTTAAAAGTTGCAAACAGATGAATGTTATGGATGTTCTTTCAAAAGTTTAGGTGTTTAACAGTCTTATGGCCTGTGGGATGAAACTATTATTTCTAGTCTTTTAATTTCTCTTATGTACATTTCCTTGTCTTTTTATGCTGCTGCAACACAAACATTTCCCAAATTGGGATCAATAAAGTACTTCTTATCTTATCTTATCTTATCTACAATTTAATAATGGTATTGTTTAAATGTATATATGTTAATTTACCTTTATAATGCTGCTACTTATTCTGATACATTGGATGTTTACTTATTTGATTTTCATTTTCTTAATGTCAGCTTCTTTCATTCAGATGTTTGCTCATTTTATTTCCCTTTTATCTGAACTGTCCTCTTGCTATAACGATGTACATTTTCCCGCTGTGGCAGTAAATACGTTTTTTAACTCAGATTTTTAGCAGCTCTCCTGTAGTCTAAGTCTCTAACCTCTTGTTTTTCTCTGACTGCAGACTCTTCTATGAGAACCCGCGGTACATCATGTTTATCTGCATGGTGATAAACGACGCTCTGCTGCTCAGCCTCGTTACAGCGCTGTACGTCGTCAGTTACATCTTCAGGAAGATCCACGCCTCCGTCTGCTGCTTCCTGGTGAGACGTGCATCTTAAAGGTCTCCTATTATACAATATAGAAGTTTAGTCAGTACTTCTACTTTTACCAGAGTATTTTTAAACATGAATATCTGTACTAAAGGATGTGTTTACTTTTGCCATCTCTGTCATTATGTGTAAGTGATTCTGGGTTGAAAAGTATTGTTATTTTAAGTTAAATACTACCTCCCCACCTTTGTCCCCTCAGATAATGACGGCGGTCCTCACCACCCGCTCCACGCCACTCATCCTGGCCGGCATGGCGTTGGAGCGTTACCTCTCCATCTGCTTCCCTATGCACTACATCCACATGTGCTCCGTCCCACGCACCTTCCTCCTCATCTTCATCATCCTCATCCTCACCGCCACGCCCCCCCTCACAGACCTGCTCATCACCGTCGTCCACCAGCCTCTTTCCCTCTTCAACACCCCCATCTTCTGCGACCACCCGCTGCTCTTCCGCCACCCGTCCATCTACTATAAGAACTGTGTGTTTGACGGGGTTTATTTGTCCTTCGTGGCTCTGACTCTTCTCTACACCTACTGTAAGATAATGCTCGCGGCCCAGGCTGCTTCTACTGGTCTGGCCTCGGTGAACAGAGCGAGAAACACCGTGCTGCTCCATGGACTGCAGGTGGGTTTATGTAGAAAGATAAGATAAGTACTTTATTGATCCCATTACAGGTGGGTGTACTGGAGATAACTAACTAGGACACTTTACTCATGAAGAGCAAGAGGGGATACATGTTCTATCAGGGTTAGGGTTTCGGGGAACGCGTGGCGCTCCGTAGGAGCGCAGCGTGGTGCACGGGCTCTCGGGTCAATATTTTGTGTTTAAAAACCTATTTAAAAACTCCTGTATTAAAACCAATAAAAGTTTATAAAAGCCCTGTTTGGTCTGGGTTAAAAAAATATTTAAAAATTGAATAAAAGGGATAAAAGAGAGCAGTGGCTGCAGCACAGAGCGTATGCGGCGGGGTTAAAACCTGTACTCCTGCCCCCCCGAGGGGGTCTACCCCGGTGGAGTGTCCGAGGCTGCGTCCCACAGCATCTGGTAAAAGACCTGGTAAGTGGGTTAAAAAACATCTGGCTCAAAGGACTGAGGTTGACTTTGTTTAAAATCGGCATGCAGGTTTTAAACACCTGTTAGGGTGCTATTGAACACTAACCAGAAGCTGTATGGACATATCTGGTACAGTTCTATTGCAAATGAGATTTTTTTAGACATAGGCCTACCTCTTCTCTGATACAGTCACATTCTGAGTGAGGGATAAGTGGCATAATAGTCTATAAATTAAGAATGCTCACTCTGATGGTCATCATATTTGGAGAGGGAAATACCAGGTGGCTGAACTACATCACCAAATAGTCAGAATAAGAGTAACCCAATACAATAAAGTGTATTAGTTCTAAATTGCAAGCCTCTAAAACATAGATGTAAATAGTACAGGTTGTATTGAAACTGGAACCTTAATTCAAAGTACAGTATAGAAATCATCAAATAATTCTGTGAGAGGTCAAGTATATAGATACTAGAATATAATGTTAAATGTCAGGTTCCTCAGAAACGTTAGGGGACACATTTTGACATTCTGCACAGCAGGTGCAGAACTCCGTACAGGGAAGGCCAACAGAGAGGCACTGGCACTTCCCACTCTCTCCACACTTTGCATCTTTGCAATACAAGTGAGTAATGTCTCTCACTTCTGTAGGTGCTGGGGGTTTTGTAAATAGCACTGGTTGAATGGCCCCATCTCTGACAATCCACCCCTTGCCAATAAGACTCCATAACAAGGGTTTGGGTTCGGGCTGTGACACCATATCGCTGTCTGAAACATTGCTCTTTGTCCATGTTGTTGAAATGCATCTTCTGTTGGCGGCAGACTTTCCGAGGCTGCATCTGTTGTTGATGCAATTATGAACCTCAGTTCATCCAAGTGTGTGCACATCAGTCCATTTTCCTTTTTCTTCTTTCCATATAGCAGAAGCGCAAATTCTCTTGCGACTGGCAAAGACTCTTCCAAGCTGGCAGAGTCCAAAATGGGCCAGATCTTTGAGCTCGCTGAGATGGGTCTTGAGTTTGGTGAATGCTGTTGTCTTCGCTATTCTGTACAAACTACTTGTTGTGCCACATCCAGTGAGTGCATAACATGCTGGTAGACAGTTGGACATGTCTTTTCCAATTCTCTCACATATGGTGTTGATGGGGACATATCTCTCTCTCATTCCATGGCCTGCATGCAAGTACACTAGAGATGAACCAAACATGTATTTGCTTGCATATATGAGCAGTACTTCCACATCTGTGTCATCAGACCTCACAACCTCACCTAGTTCTAAAGAACAACCCAAAAAACATTTTTTCCCCCAAAATAAAATTTGACAACAATCAATTTCATTAATGGGAGGCCCTAAAGATAATAAAAATCATTGTTGTGTTTTGTTCGACCTCGGGTAGGGGTATCTTTGAAAACTAAAGCCTTTTTTGAGGACTTGCTGCTAGACTATTAGGGTTAGTTTAGGGTTAGCACAATCGAGGCAATGATCTTCCTTCCACTTCCATTTTTCTCTTAGAACTAACCCTCCCAACTCACCTTGAAAACCAAAAGAGCCAAAATTGCCAGGAAAATCCTTTAAGATCTTTCAAAAATACATGATTTCATTTTTGAGACAAGAAATAAGGTTTTTCCAGGTGAAGAAAAAAGAGTTTAACTTATATTTTCACAACAGCTTCCCTTTAAGATTTAACAGGTAAATGTACGGAAGAGGATTAAGGCCACATGTGAAATTCTTCATATATCTAACCAAAAGTTATTTTATTTATTTTTGAGTTCTGCTATTAATGTCACAATTCTGAGAAAAAAAGTCAGTATTCTGAGATTCCCGAAAAAAAGAGAGAATACATTTTCCCCCCAGAAATCCCAAACTCTTTTTCTCTAATGTGGCCCTAATCCTCTTCCGTATTATTTTAATGTCACTACAAGTTGAAAAACACAAATAGTGGCTGTAATAATTAAACTGTTTACGATTAAAGGTGGGGATTAATAGCCTAAAAATCTATACAATGATTTGTACACATGATTGTACAAGTACATACCCTAGCAGACCAGACTGTTTGTTGTAAGTGTTGTAAATAACTAAATATACTTTTCTATTTCTCTGATTTTCTTCCAGTTGCTGCTGTGCATGCTGGCCTTTGTAGTTCCTTCCCTTCAGGTGGCTCTCATCTCTCTTTTCCCTCGCTTCAGTCTGGAGATCCGCTACATCTTCTTCCTGGTCGTCTACATCATCCCCCGTTTCCTGAGCCCCGTGATCTACGGTTTTAGGGACGAGTATTTCAGGAAGTACTGGACCCGGTACCTGTCCTGTCGGGGGATAACTGTGTCAAGGGTCAGACCGGTGCTGCAGAAAGGGAACATTTAGTGGAAATAGAGCGGCATAGTGATGGGAATTACGGCTCATTGAAGGAAGCTGGATCTTATGGCTCCGTTCCTTTCCGAGAGCCGTTCAAAAGAGCCGTTTTTTTTTAAGGGGGCGGGGTTAATAGGTTCATCTGCGAAATAATCACCAGGATAATCAAAGTCAAGTCAAAGTCAACTTTATTCTCAATCTTCCAATTTGTGTGTACAGACAGAGAGATCGAAATACTCACACAGTTTCTCACAATCCCGAATATAAAACAAATGTATATAAAAATATGTGTGCAAATATGTATATACCTATATTTACAGAATCAAAGACACATGTTTACATGTGCACACATTAAGACCTAAATAAAAACACAACAATCAATATATACAAAATAACAGTCACTTCAATATCATAGAATGTGCAAAATATTAGTGCAAGATTGTCCAAAATCTTGCAAGCGTAAAAAGTGTCTGGTGCTGGATTTGAGTGTCTTAGGCTCTCACCAAGTACGACTCGGTTACCTTCGTTCGTACCAAAGAGTCGTTCAAAATAATCAGATCGTTCGCCAACATAACATCTAGCTGAGAGATGACGTATTGTTGTAGTCCGACCTGGAAGTTAGCATCTCCTCCGGGATTTTCACCATTGGATTTTGGACTATTGCAGAAAATAACATCTGTGGTTTATCATTCTTACGTGTTTTTGTTCAGCAGGATCAGCTCTACATTATATTGTGGAAGAAATAAAAGGAAATGTTTTTCAAGTTCTTTGCAAGCCTGGTTTGTACATCAGCAGAAATAAAGCACAAAATGGAAGTGGAAGAAGTTCTCTGTTTAATTAAATGTTAAGTGCAATACAAATATTGTGTTGCCAAAACCTTAACAACAGCCCAACCCCAGACACACACACACACACACACACACACACACACACACACACACACACTTTAAATCAAATGTAAATATAATCCTGAATGCATCTATACATTTTAATTTCAAAGTCGGCAGATGAATGCAAATTTTGATTAAGGGGGAACATCCTCGCTAACTTTAATGATCAAAAGTTCACAATGCTCGTCACACACACACACACACTCACACTCACACACACACACTCTCACACACACACACACACACACACACACACACACACACACATTATAAAGGAGCTGACCGGCAGCTGGAGGATTCAGAGAGTCAGCAGGTGAGAGTCTGAAGTAAGAAGTGTGAAACGATTTAATGTTGCAATGTTTTAAAAAACGTTCTTAATGTATTTATATTGTGGATAGTTTAAATGTAATGTGTATGAGTCTAGGTGCACAAATAGTGAAATTAATTCATTTTAAAATGTCATTTAAAGCAATATTCTGAAAGTTAACTTTCCTTAGATGTTAACTTTTTGTTATATTTTTAATATAATAATACCGTTGTCTGACTGTGTTCTTCTTCAAAAGGCCTTTAAAAGCCTCGAGAAGCTTCAACTAAATGCGGAAAAACACATCTAGATTTTCTGATTGTGTTTTGTTTGTTTTAATATTTTATATCAGAGCGTAAAACAATAAAAACAATTATATACTGTAAATAGAATGTTATTTTTCTAACACTGTAGTATACAAAGAAATACCACAAAATGTTAACATTCCTTAGTTTACATGTTGTTATATTTGTATATATTGTTATATAATGAACTGCTGCTCTTCCTGTTCCTCTTACAGCAGGCATGTTTAGAGCTAAGCTAAGGAGATTGATTTACTAAAGAACAACGAAGGCTCTTATTCTCATTTAATCTGTGTTTTGTGTTTTGTGTCTCCAGCTCTGAGGACAATATGAACTCCAGCAGACGTTTCGACAGCTATAACGAAGCTTTCACAAAGAACTTCATCACCTTTGTCCTGGTATTCACCATCATCTGCATCAATGGAGCTTTTGTCTACACATACTTCAAGAGCAAGGACTTCCAGCGAGACCCCAGGTGATAAACAAATATGTGAACATAGTCACAGTAAAACAGATTGTACTTGATATTCAGATCTGCTTAAATGTCTAAATGGACAGTGTGGTACTTACACGTTTGTAAAAAAGGTTGGAATCAGCTGTTGTTTTAATGCTTTGCTCTAAAGATAAGTAAATTAAAAGAGACTGAAACTGTGTTTAGGTGACAGCAAATGTCCTTTTAACATATGGAAAGGTTGTAGACCTAAAACAAGAAATATTAAATGATAAAAACGTGAGCTGCACAATTAGGAAAAAATAACTACCTGCGATTATTTGACTGATATTGCAACTGCGATATTATTCACAATAATTGGAGGGATTGATCATTTCTGCAGGATATGAAGGGCTCTGATATCTCTGCAGCTTAACGGTTCTTCGTTAAACTTTGTATTTGTATGTTGCTTGTAAAGCACGTTGAGCACCAGGAAAAGCGCTATATAAATAACATGTATTATTATCACTATTTAAAAACATATTTAGCCTTTTACAAATATTCTGCATCCTGCGATTTGAGTATTGCACTTGTTCATATAGTGCATAACATATACATTAATTGTGCAGCCCTTATCAAATGTTGTTTTAGTCACAGTGATCCATGAGAGTAGATAATTCAGATTTAAATTGGATTGAGTTTCCAGAAAAGCGTTTTTTGGGCCCTTTGCAGTCTCAGCAGGGGTTAGAATCAAGATATTTAAACTGTCAATTGTCAGTCCATGGTATGTTCAGCTAATATTCTAACGGTACGTCCACACGGTAGCGTGCTTCAACGGAGACGCTTCCCATTCACTTTGAATGGGATGACGTCAAGCTTTGCCGAACTGCATTGTGGTTCCGTCGCGTCGCTTTGCCTCCGTTGCTCGCTTCGAAAGTTGAGAAAAGTTCAACTTTTCAAGCTTCGACGGAAGCGTCAGCCAATCAAATCCTATGCCAGTACAAACGCTAGCCAATCAAACCGCGTGCTTGTGTGTCCGGGGCGGGAGATTCATGTTAAACTAATCTCAATCCAATTGAAATGGTTGTTGGTCGTGCACCAGACACGCCCACCGGCAAGCTTCAACGCGATGCTGCCGAGTGGACGTACCGTAATGCAGCGTCCACACGGCAGCGTGCGTTGAAGCTTGCCGGCGGGCATGTCTGAAACTCGACCAACAACCAATCACATGAATCTCCCGCCCCGGACACACAAGCACGCGGTTTGATAGGCTAGAGGTTGTACTGGCATATGATTTGATTGGCTGACGCTTCCGTCGAAGCTTGAAAAGTTGAATCTTTCTCAACTCTTGAAGCGAGCAACGGGACAAAGCGAAGCGACGGAACCACAATGCAGTTCGGCAAAGCGTGACGTCACCCCATTCAAAGTGAATGGGAAGCTGCGTTGAAGCTTCAACGCACGCTGCCGTGTGGACGGGCCATAACAGTGCGAACGTTAGACAAAAGTATTTATATTGTGAAATCTGAAAAGCTTTACTAAAACAAAACATTGCCTGTTAATTCCAACTTATCGGAGGCATTATTGACACTGAAACATGAAGCTGCTCCGGTTTAAATCTGCACTAATTTAGATTTGTAGCTTTGCTTTCTCTTACCAGTGACTGCTGACTTATTTTACTCTCACTCTTTAACTGTTACTTTCTGCCCTCTACAGTGTCAGTAAAGCATTGCACATCATTTTGCTCCATGTAAAATACAAACCTGTTATATATAAAATAACACCTATTTGTACAGAGGACTTTCTTAGGACTAGACTGTAGTTCAAAGCTGTTGTTCTACTTCTTGTTTGCATGATTGTTCATCCTGTTTTAACCTGCTATTTCATCACAATGACAGATATAGATTAAACCTTACTTATGTATGAACTATTTGAGGTGGTACATAGGGGTGTTTCAAATGTCCCAGTAGCAGTATGCTAGAATTACAAAAGTCAAATCTGATTGAAAAAACTAAAAGATAGGTATTGTTTTTTCCGAAACTCACAAAATATTGCATCACTTTGTTCATGTTTTTATTATAACCACCAAATCAGTGACTTTAACCAGGTTTTGAGGACGTCTTCAACATGACGCTCCCATCTCTTTCCTGTTTACATATGTTTCTGGTTTTTCTCGTAGTCTTCCTCATGTTCTCCTCCTCTTCCTCTTCCTCTCCTGCAGATATGTGCTGTACATCCACCTGGTGATTAACGACATGATCATGCTGACAGTTTCTCTGGGGCTAGTGATCGCCACCTACACCGCCAACCCAGGATTCATCCCTTGCTGGATCATGCTGGTCGTCTTAATCACCACCAACAGGTGTTAGTTACAATAGGTGTCTACAATACGTCTTGTACTTGAGTAAAAGTAGAATTTCCCAATTTGGGATCAATAAAGTATCTATCTATTTATCTATCTATCTATTTATCTATCTATCTATCTATCTATCTATCAATCAGATCAAAGTGTGTGTGTGTGTGTGTGTGTGTGTGTGTGTGTGTGTGTGTGTGTGTGTGTGTGTGTGTGTGTGTGTGTGTGTGTGTGTGTGTGTGTGTGTGTGTGTGTGTGTGTGTGTGTGTGTGTGTGTGTTTCTCTCTCCAGGAACAGCCCTCTGAATCTGGCTGGCATGGCGTTGGAGCGTTACATCGCCGTGTGTCTTCCTCTTCATCACGTCCAGATCTGCACGGTGCAGAGAGCCCACCTCCTCATCGCTCTCATCTGGCTCGTGTCCTTCATCCCTGCCTTCACAGACATCATCATCATCCTCATCACTCAGCCTCTGTCTGTCTTCTCAAAGACGGTCCTCTGTCACGCCACCTTCGTCTACAACACACCGTACCACGAGACCCTCAGTCTGGTGGTGGAGGTATTTGTTATCTCGTTGAATTTCTCTCTGATATTTGTGTTTGTCACGCCTTTCCCTCAGGCAGTGGTGTAAAGTAACTAAGTACATTCAGTCAAGTATTTAAACACACTTTTGAGGTACTTCACTTGAGTATTTACATTTGTTCTGCTTTGTACTTCTACTCGACTACAGTTCAGAGGTATATGGTGTACTTTTACTCCACTACATTTATTGAATAGCTTTAGTTATATCTCACACAGGCTCCGCCCTCTACTGGGCTCTATGGGTACTACTCTCAACCATGCTATGCGAGCATTCACACACTGAGTTTGTATAAACGTAGCCGGCCAATCAGGGCGAGCCTACCTGAATGCGCGCGCAGGCACGCAGTATATAAGGCGGCCACGCCTCCTGATCCTGTCATCCTTTTCTCTTCAGCGAGCAGGACAACACCTCAGAGATAGTAAAACGTTTGAAAGAAGAAGAAAGAAGTTATCATACCTTCATGGAGTCGCCACTTCTAGAGACCCGGGCCTGTCCTTCGTGCCCTGGCTTAATAGCGGGCGCCGATCCCCACCACCTCTGCTTCGAGTGTTTGGTGGACCAGAATATGGCCGAGGCGGTGCCATCCACGTTTGCCATTCCAGCGGGGCGGATGGCTCCGTTTTGCCGGGGAGGAGGATGATGAGGACTTCTCGTTGTCGGGCACTTCCGGGTCCGGCGTCCATGGAAGTCCACCGCCCAGGTCTGTCCGCCAGGACTTCCCCCTGGTGATGACCATGGCGGCGGAGCGTGGCAGCCCATCTGCTCCCAGCAGGCAGCAGGCTGGGCAGAGAACCACCAGAGTGGCCGCGGTGCGTTCAAGGACCTCCGCAGAAGAACGTGGGTTACGTATTGTAACCCTAGTTCTAGAGTGATGTGTGTGTGAAAAATGCATTCAGTAAAAACGATTGCATTTATCCCAGAGTAAGAGTCATCTCTCTCCACAATTCCACATTTCCCCACAATGTCCGTTTCAAAGAGACGGCATTATGAGGGAGCCGCGGCCCCACGAGAGCGTGCTGCGGTGCGTTCAAGGAACTCAGTAGAAAATCGGCACTTTCTGTGTCAGCCCCCCATGGGCCAAACGTCCTTTTAAGGAAGGTTTGGCAACGGAGTAATAATAATAATAATAACAAATTCGAATTGTAAAGCGCCTTTCATTGCTAACAGCAATCCCAAGGTGCTACAGGAGGCATAATAAAAACAAACAAAAGAAACAAAAGTTTAATTTAAGGCTTTTTTAAAAAGAAAGGTTTTTAGGCCTTTCTTGAAGGCGTCAGTGGTCTGTGGAGTCCTCAGGTGGTCTGGGAGGGAATTCCACAGGCAAGGAGCAGCTGCACAGAAAGCCCGATCCCCCATTGTGCGGAGTTTGGTCCTCGGGGGGGCGTAGCCGATGGTTGGTTGTGGAGCGGAGGTTGTGTGATTATTCCCGTGGATTCATTGATGGGTCAGTAGTGCGATCTTGTATTCGATCCTGAATGAGACAGGAAGCCAGTGGAGGGAATGAAGAACGGGTGTGATGTGGTTGTTTTTTCTTACCCTCATCAGGATCCTAGCGGCACTGTTCTGTACATATTGGTGCTTCTGAAGGCTCCCGCTAGGAGTCCCGATGAGGAGAGCGTTGCAGTAATCAAGCCTTGAGGAGACGAAGGCATGGACCAGTTGTTCAGCATCTGACAGGGAGAGTGTGGGACAGAGTTTTCAATGTTCCTGAGGTGGTAGAAGGAGGTTTTGCACAGGTGTTTGATGTGGGTGTCAAAGGTCAGATGTCTGTCAAATCTTACACCCAGGTTGGTAACTGCTGTGGAGAGGGGTATGTTTTGGCCAGAAAAGGTAATGTGGGTTATGGGGGATGACTGGACCTGGTTTGGTGTGCCAACTAAAATAGCTTCTGTTTTGGAGCTTTTAAGCTGCCGGAAGTTTTGTTGCATCCAAGCCTTTATCTCCTCAATGCAGGTGTTAAGG